AGAAGCACTGCGAAAGGAGGCCTTAACAAAGAATTGAAAATAACCATCCCCAGGGGTGACATGAAGCCAGACCTTGGAGAAACATGGTACAAAGTTAGGTGGCTTGGGAGGTAAGATTTTAAATAATGAACATACCCCCAGAAAGCCACACAACATTTGAGCAAAAATATATTTTTTGTCCTATGATTAATTTGATTATTTACTGAATTCCCTTGACCTCAGTACGGGACATAGCATTCCAAGTGAATGTAAATAATGTAGCTACAATAAGTACCAACAAAGTCAATTTCCACTTGGGTTTATACGTTATAACAGCATTGTCCTGGATTGTCTCTCTACAGGTGGTTTAACCAATGGCAACTGTCCTCTGAGACTGAAAAAGATCAGCCGAAGCAAGTTCAGTCCATTACTGACCCTGCCAACTTTGTGTGTGAGATGGTGCTGTTTGAGTTCAAAAAACCAGGATGCAACCCTGAGATTAAAAAAGCTGAGTTTGGTTGTTGCTGACCTTAACCAGTTTGTGCAACTTTGTTTGGATGACAATGAAAAGGAATTATCACTATTTATTTTAGGAATGGACGCTTGACATGGAATAATGCCATCCCAGAACAGGAAGTCCACTTAAAGCCTGGAGGTGATGCTGGTGGTGGGTCCTTCAAAATGGCTTTCCAGATTGCCAACCTTAACCATCCAAAGTCAAAACAAGTACAGTGGTCTTTGCCATGTTCCACGCCAAAGATACATGGACCACTTTAAAAATACAGAAAGGAAGTGACACCCTAAAGGAAGCTACTTGGAAGTCGGTACATACACTGTAAATGTACTATAGAATTTTTATAAACCATACAGGGTAAAACCTCCACACTGAGGCATCCTGCTGAAATTCAACATTGATATTTTTTGCTGTTTTAGAGGCAAAAAGCAAATACTTTTTCTCTTTGGTGACTAGGAGTTTTTATGAAAGATATCTCAAACTGCTGGAGCCTCAGGTAAGTTCAAATAATTAAAACATACAAAACAAAATATTTGCTTAATATAATTAACTAAGTAGAACCTTCCCAAGTTGTAGCCTAAAAAACACTTTCTGTGGAAGGAGTATTAATAAGTGAATAAATATCTTGCAGGTAAGTATCCATGCCTCTGGTGCCTGATCACATATGAGAGGCTCCAAATCTCTTGCCAGGATCCTCATCATTGGCAAATAGAAAAGAGAAATATGAAGAACATTGAAGAAGATTACAACAAGTTTGTTGCAGATGGCTGCGTAACAAGTCGACAGAAGTGTTATCACAATGTGATCCATGAGAAACTGCTTGACATTGAACTGGAAAAGGTAAATAAACTATCAACACACGGCCGATCTTCACTTATCAAAAATACCAGAATGAGTGTTCAAACAATTCGGATTAAAAAAATTTAACCCATGTACATTTGTCAGGAAGGTTTCACATCTTCTCCCTCTACTGTTATGATGCTGAATAAAATTCTGGGCCTTTGATATTTGGAATGAAGCATTTATGTAGATGCGATGTGATTTTGTTGAAAAAGACCACACTTTGGTCGATTTTCCTCAAATTTTGAACAACTGCTCTGTCGACCTCCAAAGGTCTGCCATGATAAATTTCACGTGCATGCATTGGAGATTTCATTGGTTAAAACAGGTAGAGGCCCTCAGGTTGCCATGGATTCTAACATATGTGCATTTTAATGCAGTATTAACTTGAGAATGTAATAAATAACAGGATGGTTCGGCTAGACAACACTCACGAACTTCCATTGTAAAACAGTCGTGGCTATATGTTTTAGAAAAATTCTTTCCTTTATTCCTTTACTTTGTTTTGGTTTGCTTTCAGGGCCGAAAGAAGAGTGTATTGTCAGAAAGACTGTCAGAAAGCGGAGGTGTGGCATCTGACAGCATTTGTGGTACGCAACCATATCGATGCTATTTGCCAAGTCCTAGTTGTCTGAGGTCCAAATACCTTTAACACTTGATGGCTGAAATTGGTTGCGTTTCAGAGATTTATACAAAAATAACATTTTTATCAGCATCGCACGTCCAATTCGAACACTTTCACCGTTATTGGGGTCAGCAGTCTTCATTTAAGCATTTACACTACAGTGCGTTATCTATCTTTATGTATCAAGGTGACAAACACGTGAAACACCGCTTGTACAAGCATGGCAGGTCACAATCTCACGAAGCCGTGTGAAGGGCCAGCAAGTCATATATTTCTAATTAACTAATAACCAGTGGGGGTAGTTTCAAGAGGTATAGAAAGGGGAAAATGCACCACATGGGACTGTAAGCGATTTGAGGCAAAAAATGGACAGCACAAGTGCCGATATTGTGGCTGTTTTCCAGAACAACGTAAACGGTCTAGTTCAGAGGTCAAGACCAATGAATGCCAGGACATAGTAAAAGAAGAAGTAGTGCCAAAAACAGAAGGAACACCGAAATGGATGAAGACAGGTAGGATGGCTTCCATATGCCAAATCAAAGAATGCCATTTTGTCCAA